TCCTACAGGACATAATTTATAATATTATATTAACTTTTTTACTTTCATAATAACATTTAATATTATTATTATTATTATTATTATTATTTACTATAAAAAATACAACTTAAAAAATATTGGGACTTATTTTCCATGTATTTTTTTTTTTTAATATTTCTAATTTTATTACAATTTCATAAACACAAAGTTAACGAATCATATTTTGACAATGACTATTTAAAATTATTTTTTATTTATTTTTTTTACTTATTTTAATTTATTTTAAACAATTTTTTTTTTTTGTAAATTTATTAAGGTACATATGTTTAAATATAATTTAATAATTAAATATAATTATAATTTAATAAATAATTAATTAAAAAATAAATTATTTAATTAATTATAATTTAATATATGTTTACATATGTTTTAACCCATTAACAATTTATTTGATTACAAAACCCGAATCATACTTAATTGTTATATTACACGTTTAAATTTAATTTGTACGTGTTCAAACTCTCCTAAAAATATATTGCTTTAAAATATAATCTTAAAATTAAAAATATATGCTGCCATTAATTAAAACAAAAATATAAAAAATAATTGTAGTTACATTTGATCCAGCCAATTTGTATATTTTTATAATATTATTTCTGTACTTAAAATAGTGTGATCTTGATAAAATGTGATCAATTTAAACAATATATGCATATACCTGATACAATATTATTTACTGTAATTACAATCTATAAAATATTAAATAAAAAACATGCGTGATACATCGTGTCACATAGGATGATCAATAAACTATACTAATGTCAATTTTCATACTTAACCTCAATTGTTTCTAAATTAAAAACCTTTATTAATTTTATTGTTTATTGATAATAATTGTATTAATTTAAAATATCGATATTAAGCCGTACCCGTACAAGTTATTAATTTATCATCATATTATTAATTATTGTTATGTTGATCAATTTATTTTTGGTTCTCAATTCTTAGCGCTGCGATGAATGTATTAGTTTTACAATGATGTACATATCTATGTAACATAGGTTTTTTTTTTAATATGCGTTTGAAGTTTAAATTTAGACGAAACTATATATAAACGATGAATAACGATGTAAATTATTTTGTTATGTATATGATTTAAAAACATTATTCATCGAGACTTAAAACTTTTACGTACGTGGTTAATTTTACTACACGAGATGATATTTTTAAAATATCATGTAGATTAGTTTTAAGATATTAACTATTTATACTATTTAAAATTATGTTGTTGCTAAATTTCAATACGAAACATTTATGAGTATAATAACTTTTTACATCGTTAAGATTAAACATTCATGTTTAATTTTTTTAGACATAATTATTATTGTACGAATTTGTATCGTATATATTCTAATTTCTAATATAATAGTATTATAGTAACATCTAAGCAAATTGCAAAAATTTACAAAATGTATATTAACTATTAAGTAATTTTTTCCACCGTATATGAACTAACGTAATACGTATTCTTTTCAAATATCGACGGCATATCGGTGTATATCGGCAGTGGCGTCGAAGTAAAAAAAAAATATGTAGGACAAACATTTAAAACAAACTCCCACCCACCACACATTCGGTTGTTTAAGCTACCAAAATAGGTTTACTCACCCATCACCAATTTTATATGTAGAACAATTGTCCTACATTGACATAGGGTTTGGCGTCACTGTATATCGAAACCAAAAAACCATTATTTGAAATACATATTATTATGATTCATTCGTTCTGGGCGCCAAACATTTTTTTTAAATCTAAACAACAATTTAAAATCAATTATCGCTCACGTCACGTATATACGTATAGTACAATACCCAACAATCAAAAATTTAATTACGGCAAATACTTTCATAATATGTACCTTTTCTATATTTACATATTTCATAATATAATATAATATAAAAGTATATATTGTATATGAATAAATACAACAATTCGAGTTATTTTTCGGTATTGTCCGTAGCCAAAAATGTTCTCGTATGGTCCATACTACACAATAGAGATGGGGCTATGCTGTAAGAATCTGAACTATGCGGCGGGCATGTGGCTAATTAAATAGAAAGGACGTTTGAGCTTTTAACAAAGGTGAATTTTATTTTTAGTACTGATTTCAATAACAGATTGAAAATGTTGCCCTTTAGTATTTATTTTACAAATCAATTTTGGTTTAAAAGTTTTAAATCGCTGCAGTCCACTGCCTGCAATAGGTAATTTCGTATTAATACCATGACGTAAATAATATAGGGATAATAGAAAAGGATTATAACAACTACAATTTGATGGAATCGCAATCTACCGATATAAAAGTAACTTTAATCGAACTTTTTTCTTTTAAGAAATTACCTATCTATTCAGAACCATTTTTTAATCAAATTTTTTTTATCTTAGTTTTTAATTTTTATATAGCTTTAAAAACATGATCAATAACGGTCACAGAAATTTAGCTAACGATAAAAGTTATAAGTTATAACTGAATACCCGCATGTTCCATGGATTTTAATACGGTTATAAATTATAATATTGTTAAGATTTACACTTGATTTTTCGATTATCTACATTTAATGTATATTTATATGAGGCTTGTTAGGAAGCTGGATAGATAAAATTAGCATACTGCTATACGACTGACAATTTTTTCATACGTAGCCAATCGTTAATACATAAGTGTCTAACCTTAAAGTATAGAATATTTAAACTATAGAACAAACTTATAAGTTATAAGTATCATTTTTGATGTTAAACAAAGTCACTGTATAGTAAAACTGTTTTAAATGATGTTGTGTTAGTATTTAATTGTTACACTAGAAAATTTGATGGTGGTTATCTATCAATATATATTACGATAGGTGAAATATGATTTTAAATGAGTACAAAAGAAAATTAATAAACTAAAATATATTATAGAGACTAGAGAGCTTATTTGGTTGTCAGATAAGTAAAACTCAAATGTATAGTTTTAAACAATAACCGCACTTGGTTATTTTTATTTATTATTTGATCATACATTTCTAAGTAGGTATTTAATTTTGTTCCTACGTATAATTACAATATATGTAAATGTACAATATACAGTCATAAATAAGATAGGTACCGATAATTTTTACACATATAAATAGGATTACACTATTAAGTTAGAATAATTGTTTTCTATATATTTATTAATATTTAGTTTTTAAACGAATAAAAAATAGCAAAATACAGTAAACAAATAAAATTAATTTAATTATAAACAATTATTGTAGTATAACATTTCCAAAGAATTCGTAGGATAAATCAATTAAATAGCAATTAAATACTACGTACATTTATATAATAATATAGGTACTCCTACTTTTAATCATGGACACAATCTCGTCTACAATACTAAACAGTAATCAACAAATGTAAACTATAATAATTTAAACCATAATTTTGTTCGATTCAATAACAATATTTATTCTTCTAATAACCAGGTAATCAATTGTTTACAATTTAGATCAAAATAATCACAGCGTTGATTTACTTAAATGTCTAACTTATATTAGCGTAACCACAGTGTTATAATAATCGTATAATGAATTTAGCAAAATAAGGATTGAAATAAAAAAAAATAATAAAAAATTGAATTTTATAGAAGCTTGTATATAATATTATTATGAACCAAAACAAATGTACCTAACATAGGCGCAATTAGGGGAGGGTTAGAAGGCTTAACCTTCCAAAAATTATTCAGACAAAACTTATTAAGAAATCAATAAACGGTTAAAGTATAAAATTTGTTTTTGTCTGTAGAATTTTGAGCATTTCTTTAAATCAGAATTTTTACAATTATCTAATCATTTTTATATAAGGATTATGACCCAATTATTATAAATTATAATACATATAGGTGTATTATCTTATTTTAAGTGGTAAAAGTTTCTACGGATAAACGTAGTTATGGTCATGTATCGTGGTCGAAAAACTATAACAAATAAAATTTATTTTCGTATTATATTAAATTAAATATTTTTAAAATATAATATAATTTCTAGGAGTAATTCAATATCGATGTTTTAATGCTATAAAATATAAAATTAAGATAGTAAAAACTGTTTATCAAGATTAAATGAGGAAAACGAAATCAATTTTGACGATCTTAAATAAGTTTTAAATTGTGTAGTTAATCCAAATTTATTTAAACTTTTACAATTAGCGCTCACAATATCAATAATTTTAGCATCGTGTGAGAGGTCATTTTCAGCCATGCGCAGGATAAAAAATCGGCTGCGCACTTTTATGGAGCAAGATCGTTTCATTAATTTATATTGAGAGGAGTATTAGATAGACGTTAAAGAAATATTAAAAGAATTTGTAAAAAATGAACATAAATTAATACTATAAGCAAATAATATATAATACTTTTTTTTAGTTTACCTAATAATTATAAATGTGTGTTAGGGATGTGTATTTTTCAGTTCAATTAACATAGTGGGAAAAATTCTAAATACATAATGTCATATATCGTATAAGTGATATTTGTGGGGAGGATGGAGTCCCATACGGGTTTATTTGGTTCATATATGGATAGCCCCCCCAAGTCAAAAAACTTAAATTGCGCCTATGATACCTAACCAGGCCAACCACCTGAAAGTGTCAAATGTTGTACAATAGTAAACATAAAAACAAATTTTAAATGTCATTTGACACATAGTTTTTTTTTTAGGTCTAAGAAAATACAAGGTTAAACGCTCGATATTTTCAATAATAGTAATATAAACTATATGGTAGATAAATATTGATAATAATATGATAGATTAGTGACGGGAATCGGGAAGAACGGTATTAAGAACACATAGTTGTATTGTAATTTATGATAATTGTTTAAAAAAAAAAAAGTTTACGTGATATTATCGTCCCTATTTCAATTTTAACTTTAAGTATATTATTTAATATAATGTAATAATAATAATAATAATAATATCATAACAATAAAGAATGGATGAATTACTTAACAATAAATTATAAAATATACATTGAAAAGCTAAATATTTGAGTTTTTGTCAAATAGTTATTCTAAGTAATTTGAAAACATTCAATAGTTTTGTTGATATAGTACGATATTATTATTAATAGCAGCGCAGAAAGCGTAATTTGTAACACATTGTTAGGCTTATTATTTTGTCCTGAATTACACCCGTCGAAATCACAGGTGAGAATACAACCATCCATGGTATGATCTTGGTATTTGAATTTACCGCACTGAGAGTCCATAGTTTTCATGGCACATTGTCTGATGACCATCATTTCAGAGGTTTTCGCTGCAATATAATTATGATTTATTATTTAAAATAACCTAATTAACTGTGACACACAGGCCATTAAAACCTACAGGAACACAGACGCCAGAAATTCGATGAATTTTCACATTTCTCAATTAATTGTTATCAATATTAAAATAAATATAATATAAAAATACACGAAAAATTCATTCAAAGCCATTATTATTAAGAAAAATAATTATAAAAAATTAATATGTTACCTCAATCTATATATAGAATATAGATGCTTTTATCTATCGCAGTGTAGACGTTTAAAAGAAATTCAAAAATAAATAACAACAGCTTTCATAATAATTATGTGCTAATTACCCCTTTATAAAAATAACGTAATTAGGTACTTAATTATTCAATGGATGGTGTATTATTGATAATGTTCTCTGGGAAAAATTAATAAATTCTGCTTTAATTAAGAGAGAAATAACACTAAATCTACACTTAAGATTTTTATTTTAGCAGTAATAGCTTATTTTACTAAATAATATATGTATATAGAATATATAACACTTTTATTATAGTTTTTTTTTTAGTAAAATACACATGTCTATGTTACTTGGAAATTATTGTATTATTTTATATTTATTAATAATATTAAAAATTATTTAATTATCTTAAATACGTTTATATAGATAATATAAAATGTACAACAATATTTTAAATTATAATCCTAATATGATATTCTAACCTAACTTGTAGTTGAACTTTATAAATTTACAATTTACTATCATAACTTCTAACCATACTTCATAATTGCAAATAAGACATTATGCCATTTATGCAGAGAGATTTCATATTATATCTGTTTACTGTAAAATAATTTCATATTTCTAAATTATAAAAAGTTTTGACTTTATTAAAATACGATCAAATAAACAATACCTAATTTATACTACTGCAATAATTAGTTAATAAATTTATATATTTATTCACAAAATCCAAAAAAGTTTTACAAATATGTTAGTATAAATTATTTTATTTATTTTTAGTTAACTTTTTTAATTTATATGATACTGTAAAATCTATTTATTTATTGTAAAAAAAAAATATATTGATTTATATTAAAACAAGATATTTAAGAAATGTACCTTTTAAAATATAGGTCACTGTGTAACATAATATGTATTTCAATTTTTCATGAAATGATTTTATATTTTAATACCAATCAGAATATTTGATTAAAATATACATATCATACATACATAAAGCCGTGCAATTAAAATGTTTGTACTACACATAAGATCTATAAATAATTAATTACCTATTGAAGTATATAAAATTGTTACGATGTTTTCAAAGTTTAATAAATTAATAAAAAATATTAACGTATGGAGTAAACTACAGTGTAAGTATTTATATTTTATATATAGGTAATTTGATCTAATTTTACCTTAAAGACAATATTTGGTGTATTAAATATAAACTAATACATCAAATACCATCTTATAATAGATTTGTGTTTCACTTACTATTTGTTCCAACGATTTTAGTACAAAAATTTGCTGGAAACATTCCTATATGACCTCTTTTTGGAACCATGCACTTTTCTATGTATGTGGACATTGCTGGGTTAAATGGGTCTTCACAATTTTTATTACTTCCATTCAAAGATGAACATTTAAAGCAATTTATACACGATGTACCTAAAACAATAAGAATATGTTAACTTATTAAAACTTAGTGGTAAGAATAAGTAATACATTATAATTGTCATTAAAAGTAGATATCTGTTACAAGAAATTTATAAATTATTTTTATGAAAAATCGCAAATAATACAATAATTGTTTGATACAGTAAATAATATAGTCACATTTACCTTGTAAAATACTCATCAAAACTATTGAGATATCTAACAAGTATATGATCATTCCTTAAAAAATTTGCCTTTGAAGGACAATACTACAACCTGAAAAAAAAAATAATATTTTATACTCAATACTTTCGTATATTTTTGTTTAGATATGTTATATACCTATATATATAACATGTATTCACTTATATACATTTAACTAATTAACATTAAAAACTTTAACTTAAAAGAGTTAATACTATTTTCAAAGTCAAGTCCCACGTATTATAAATAACTGGAATCACTGTAATATTTGAATATTTGATTAAAAATGTTAGATATTTATTTTACCTGAATGATTAAAATATGTATAATCATGTAATATTTTAAAAAGATTGAAATTAAAATAATATATTTCTATAGAATTTACTGTAAGTAAAACGACAAAATATATTTAATATTTAGTTATCAATTTGATTAATTTGTTATTTAGCAACCATAGTTCTAAATCGTACAGAAATATATCGATAATTAATAATATTTTTACCGAGCTTAGTGAACATCAGTATTTTATTTTATGAAAATACAATAAAATTATGATTAGTTAGTTAAAAATTAAATACTATCATCGATAAGCTAATAATAATTTATTTGATATTTGTTAGAAATTAATTGTTGTTTAACTTCCTTATAAATTATACTGTAAGTAAAATAAGGTAAAAAAAAAAATAATTATACTTAGTCATTATTGAATTTTAAATTTTATAACGTTTCTTCTAAACTAATTATAATTTTGGGCATAAATTATTAAAAATCTCTAGAAGGATTAATGATTCATGCAAGGATTCTAAATTGTAGTATAGCTTGACATTACCGTGACCATCCCTCAAAGAAAACATTCGTCTAAAGAAATATAATCGTACATTTATACAAAACAAAGAATAACCTAAATGACTCAAAACTTTGGATTAACTTAATTGTTTTTTTGAAAACAAAATTCAATCTTTTGGAAATTGTTATTGAATATTTTAAGTGTAATAAATATTAAATGTTACATTAAGTTACTTTAATATTCTATAGTCTGCTGTTTTCGAGCGCTTTAATTAATTTTTAAGGTAGCTTTTTAATTGATAAAGGTATACTAAAGCAGTATTTTCGAAAAACTAACATTTCAATTAATTAACCACATATACATATAATAAATGTTTTACATTAATATAAAACGTATTTAAACTTTTAGATATATATAGACGATACACTTGAGCGATTCCGTACAGTTTTAATAATAAATACAACTCTCAAATGTCTTATCTGATAATATATTCATAGTTATAAACACATTTTAACAAAAAACATTATTGCTATCAGAAAAAAATAAAATAAAAATAAATTGGTTTTATTATTTTTTTTTTTAAACACTACTTATATGTATAGCGCATTACCATACTGTATTAAATTAACATAATATTTATCTACCTGCAACCTACATATTAACAATATGGTGTTCATACATGCTGATAAAATTTTCTAACACCAGAATCCAACAATAAAATAATAATAAAAATAGATAAATCAATATGTACTATGTAAATGTGAAAAGGATTTAAATAATTAATTTCTATTGAATATATATTATATATAGGTACTATGTCAAAACAAATAATGATTGGTCCAGTAAGTTTTCACCTCACATACAATTAACAATTTATAATGTTTTGACTATTCAAACAAATATAAATTTAAAAATAATACGATTTTGATTGTTTTATTAATTAAAGCGCTTCAATAGAAAAAAAAAAGTTTTAATTATATTTTTCCACTTTAATAAGGTACGATCAATGCACTGAGTGTTAAATTTATAGTAGTGTTTGGTTTCTCATTACATTAAATTAACTTAAATGCTTTTAAATGATAAACAAGTTAAAATTCATAGTAGCAATATTGCACATAATACAATATAAGTTATATCCAGATTAATATCGCGAATTTAGACTTGTAATTTATTAATTTATACGAGAAAGATTAATTAATATATTACACGTTAAATGTAGAAAAACATAATTAAAACTCACTGTGTACGGTTTTTATTTATTATCAGGATGCGTCTGAATGCGTTAAAACACTTAAAACAAAACGTATTTTGCTTTGGTCTCTAAGATAATATTATTGGTCTCAAAATAAATTTCAATGTCGTCGAAGATTATTATGGAAATAGCAATTGTTTTATTTTTCCTGTAGCTATTTAAACTTTCCCATGATGTTAATTCACCGTTATGTATAAACGAAATAAATCAAAAAAAAAAAAAAAAAAAATAGAGAGAAACGAGTAAAGTATGTCATATCAAAGCATATTTTCTTAAAATTTTGTACGTAAATGAAATAGGTATAACTAAACGCAATGACGACGATTCGTACAGCACATTTAAGTAGGTAGTTTGATTCGATTTTTCTTCGTACAAAACGAAAAATATATGTATAATAATAAGGTATATAACATGTATCGCCAAGTGATTAAAAAAAAAAAATCGCTTTCCACGTAACACTACGGAGCAAATAGATATAAATTATAGTTTAACGCAATACTATCATAATATAGTGCAACGAACGCGTATACTCACAATCGTTTATCGAATCACATAGATAACTGCAGTGTATTCACACTGCCGCGGCGTACGATTTCGCGTTGTAGACGATCCGGTGCAGGGTGCAGGAAGTTGCGTGTTTTAACCGCGACGTCGGCTTATTCGCGATTGAAGTGAGCGCGATAGCATATTTTTCTCTTCACCAGAACAATGGCTGTGAAACATCGGTGTATGTGAATGATTTGAGTATACATCCTTTTAAATAATAAAAATTACTACGCTAACGTAATATTATCTACACACCCAAGAGGGTAGTCGGGTGCCGAACGTAATAATCGAAGGGATGATGACGTAGGCGGCGCCCTAGCAACCGTTGCCAGGGATGGGATACTGGAGCAGTTGTCTCTGTTTACAGTATAAAAAGAAGGAAAAAAATATCCCATTAAACTGTTTACCGAGAACTGCTACGTATATATTATATGCTTATGTGTGTATACGTATACGTCGTACGTACAGGTATATGATACACGTCATATGTATATATATAATGGTCAGAGCTTTTGTTGTTTTTAATTATTTAAAATACGCGAGCGCGCCAGTGCGTGCGTATGAATAAAAGAAAAAAAAATGTTTTTATTACGACACGAATGCGTATGGCCGTTTGTATTGGAGAGATTATACGTAGGTAGTCTGTGAACCCACATACATATATGTGTATTCTGAAAAGCGACGTGCGATCCAGTGTGTGTGGCGGCAAACTGAATTATTCCAATATATATATATATAACATTTATGTAAAGGAGGGGCCGCAGTGCGAGCTTTCGGATTGAATATGTTCACAGCTAGTGCGTTGTACAGATTTGATTTTTTTAAATAAAAAACAATTTTCGATACCTAGATATAATGCGTCAGACATATTTTAATCGTACCTTTCATCTGCAATGTACGCGAGTATGCTGCGATTCAAATACGTTTTTTTTTTTTAAATTATTCAGTGAAAAGAGATTATCCCAATAAAATATGTTTAGTGAATACGTCAAGTGTTCCATTCATTCCACTATGTAATCGATTTGTCGAAAAACGAATGTCGAAAAACGTGAATATTTATGTTTCCCTACATTTTATTTTTTTCGTTAATATTTTTTCTAAATTATTTACAAAGGTCCTGGGAATTTTCAACTTACGACTAAAGTACCAATTATATTAAATTCACAATCGAAAATCGTCTTCAATTACCATTTTTACCGCTCAAAATATGTCGGGAGACAAAAAGAAAAAAATTCATGATAAAAAATCATTATAAAATCACTCAGAACCTATAATCTTAAACGAATGATATTATAATCATTATTTATTATAACAGTTTCGAAAAACAAAAATACAATGGTTGTAAAAGTAAACTTATAAGTTGTATTATCTTCTTTAGTAGCAATGAAAGTACATCAATCATTAGCTTCGAGGGTGGTTTCTACCAGTTTCTGGTGAAAAATTTAAGTTTATTATACTTTATTAATTAAATAATGTTCAAAAGTAAAAACTTCCTAGTTATTTTCAAACTATTGTGAAAAACAACAAAACAATTACAAAAAACAAAAATATTTACGTAAAATCAGCTTTTAACAAAATCAAATTTTATTTTTGTTATAAATGAAAATGTTATTGACAATAGAAACTCAAAATGTTTCACTTCTAATCGTTTTTCGTGTGCTATAAATTATTACCATTGAAATCAGGTTTAATACATCCATTACAATTACAGTGACGTACTCGATGGTGTTCACTCATGTGTTTTATTTGAGAGCTATTACAACTGAACGTTTTACCCGTGTTTTAAACGTACATTCAATCAACGACTCAACCCTCATATTCATTTAATTTTGACACAACGTACCAAATTATTTTTCCAATAAATTTTTATCATTAATTGTTACTCTAATTTATTGGAATTTGAATAGATTTTATTAAAAATACAGGAATAAAATTGGAGATATTATACTGATGCTTAGTAAGTTGTAACTTTCAAATTTTCTTTTTCATTGAGTAGGTCACTATACAGTAATGAATGTATTATATTTTAATTTAATGATAAATCGTTGAATATGAAAAATATTTTTTAAAAGATATTTTACAATTTATTTATTTTATTATTAATATTTTTTTATTCTATTAGTTAATACTATATAATATATTAAACTATATTTTTCTTAAGACATCGCATTAGTTATGACAAGATTATACAATTTACTCGTATTATTGTTAATAAAATAATAACTTTTTATAGATGAGTTAATATACCTAAGTATTTCAATAATTTCTTTAACAATGTTTAATGAATCTAATATCAAAGGTCAAATTATTAATCCTAGATATGAAAATTAAAAATGTCATGAAATTTTAACTTTGAAATCTTACAAAAAAAATTGGTTTGACTGTATATTTTTTATTTCAATTCCTATAAGAACTGAAATTTATGAGAAATCTTACATTCAATTTTCGAGTTTTTTAACTTAGATAAAAAAAAAAAATGTGTTATATCTGTAATTTGTATAAATTTCAAATTTTACAATAATTTAACAGTGAAAGTCACTTTGCTGTTTAGCTTAGTTATTGAATGTAACTTGTAATTGAGTATTTAATGTTTACTTATTTGAGTAATTACAGTCTACAGAAGTAACCTGTCAACGTAAGCATATATTTCTAAAGATATTTTATGATATAATTATGATTCTGCTAATTATTACAACATATTTGAATAATGTTAAAAAAAACAAATCAGGAGTAAACACGTATTTGTACGTAAGTATTACAATATTTTATATTATATAATATTACAAACTGTTATTAACTTATAAGTCAATACTGGTGTGAATAAGTTTGTAATATGAATAGATTAAAATAAATATAAATATTTTTAAAAACTTAATTGTGTTTAGTAAATTATAATTTCGGAGTAACGAAATATTTCAAGTCTCGACGAATTTTCTTTTAGTATTAAATTCACAAGCTTTTTAATTTTAAAATGTGTATCAGAGCTATTAAAAACAATATAAAAAAAAATCGCTTAAAAATATGTAATACAAATATTAATAATATTATTGAATACATAGAAAATGATAATTAAAATAATAATGGTGAAATGTTTCAAGTTTCATATTATTTTAATGGTAAGAAAATAACGAAAATATTTTAAGAATTTATCATTATTTTACGTTTGATATATGCGTGAATATATAATCAATAGTCGTCAAAAATTGAACTTAAATCACCATACAAAATTAATGTTAACTATTATTTTATATAATTCATTTAAATATTTATGAAATGTTGCATAACGTATTCAAGCTTAAGGGTTTAAATTAGAGTTTTTATGAATTTTAATAGCAAAATAATTCTTATAAGTTCTTAATTTTAAAGAATTTTATAAAAATTTCAAGTTAAAACGATCATGATATGAAACAGAAAAAAGGGACTGAATTTTTGATGATACATTTTTGATATGATATTTTTAAACGATTTATGAAAAACCTTTAAAATCTTTTACCTATTGCATTCATAGTTAATGAAAAATAAATTCTGAGATAATATAATAATAAAAGGTTTCCCTTAAGGCCGTAAGTATTTTTTGGTGGAATTAAAAAAAGTTTAGTACACTTACGTTTTTCGTGAACGATTGACGTTCAAATTTTGACTACATGCTAAAATGACGATTTATCCTCGGTTTTTGTTATTTTTTTTATTGTTCAACACGATTTTTCACGAACTTATTCGCGTCGTTTTTCGGTATCTACGTTGCCATTTTATGTAGGAAAAATAAGTTCAATCTATTGTATTAATTTTAGAAAAAATGTATTGTTAGCAATTTAAATGTAGGTCCTTACCTACCTAGTATAAAATATCCTTTATAACGACACGATCGGACAGATTGTATCCGCTCAAAATCATTATTTGTAGATAGGTACACAATAATAAATAATTTATCATCGAATTCAAATGTAACACATCCGTGAACTATTCATTACAATATTACATACTACAGTGATTGAGTGACTATTTCAAAGGCAAGTTACACGTCCTGAAACCTTTGAATATTACTATTTGAAACAAAAGTTTGTCATTTTGTAAATTGTACTGAGTAGTACCACGCAAATATTACTAATTATTTGATGATAAATACCTATTTATAAAATGTAGGTCTAGTGTCTACCGCCTATACGTATGTTGTACTCAAATGCCTCAAATGCGTAGGTAACGTTTGTCGTATACAAAACCTGACAATATCGTAAATAAATAATAATAAATATCACTATAAATGATAATAATTGAACATCATTATACGTCTTATCACCTGTCGTGATAAAAACTGATAAGAAATTATTTTGATGTTGATATCAAATGATTTTGACATTGTGTACCAAATCATGTTTATTATTTTTTATGGATAAAACATTTGAATACACCAAAATACAGTAATACTAAATAGTAATTAATTAAGTAACATAATTTGTTTAACTTTTTTTTGGTTTATTAATTAATTAATAATATTTTGTATCATAAAAAACAATATTTGATGGTACGTGTTACAAAATTAAATTTTTTTTTGTTTAGTTAAATTTCAATTCTTACATTTTTTAAATGTACTGAAGTACTTTATATAATGTAAACTATTTGTACTTGTTTTTCTATTTTGAATTATAATTTTAGTACATTTTAATTTTTAATTTCATCAGTCATAAATCAATACAACAATGGACTTCCAAACATCGAGAATAGAGAATAAAGATCTTTGCAATGTTCTACTGAAATGGGTTTGTAATATTTAACATTAAAAAAAAATATTATTTTGTTTCTGTATAGTAATTACCTAATTAAATAGGTACTATACTAATAATTTAAATACATAATTCAAAAGCTTAAGTTTGATAAACTTCAATCACACCAATGTTATTTAACAATATAATATTTTAAATCTTTAAAATTTCTAAACTATTAAACACAAAAAAAAAATAATATACAACCTGATAAAAATTATTAATTAATTCTGCATTTAATGTGATTATTACTCAGATTAATGATTTAACACATGTGTGTTTATATTTTAATTATGTTTAGTTGCAAACATTACATCTCAAATCACCACATCGAACTTTATATGATATTACTGATGGTGTAGCACTTGCTGAAGCATTAAATCAAATGTAAGTTTTTGCTTAACCAAAATTATTATTAATAATTACTTAAATGTAAATTTTTTGTAATTAAATAATTGTAAAAAAAAAGTTTGGTACCTTAGTAAGTTAGTGAATCTGACATATTTTATTTTCAGTGCTCCAGAATGTTTTGAC